CCCAGAGGCTGGTCCAGGGAGCCCGCCCTGCTGGAGCCGGGGAGGCGGGCCTGGCCGGGCGGTGGCTTCTCCCTCTGACTCCGCAGCCTCTCCCTCTGCTCTCCCCACGGCCTTTATGGCCGCGCCCCCGCAGGAACGTGGCTTTCTTAGGGCAGCGACCTGTCAGGCATTCCCTCCAGAGTCATTCAACCAACATCTGCCATGGGCGGGGCACTGTGGAAAGTGCTAGCAACCCCATTGACCTGGACAGATTCCGCCCGCCTCCTGGAAATTAGAAATCAAAGCCCACCCTTAGGGAGGGGGAACTCTGCAGCTCACCCAGGGGGCACTCAGGGTCCGGAATCACCCATCGTCCCAGAAAGTCGCGTCTAGTTGTTTTCCAAGCTTTTGAAAAATTGCCCAAGTCGTAAGCGTCCGTCTTACCCAGTTTCCACACTGAACTTTTCCTGTGCAACCTGCATCCAGAACAAATAAATTGTGCTCGCTCTCCAGAGGCCTCCCACACCCGCTTCCAGTCTCTGCTTCCGCCTGGCACCACCACTGACCTGCTTGCCAACCCCAGAAAGTAGTTTCACTTGCTTTTGAACTTTCGGTAACTGGAATCCCATGTCATGTCCTTTTGGTGCATGGCCTGTGAGAGTCACCCACGCTTTCTGTGGCAGGGACCCGTTGCTTCTCACTGATGTGTAATGCTGCACCGTGCAGACAGACCACAGTTTATTTCTACATGCCACCCGACACTTGGATGGATGGACATGGGTTTTGGTTTTGGGGTTCCCCTCCCCCCGTTTGGGGTTATTGTAAATAGTGCTGCGAAGAATTCTTGTGTTTGTCTTTCGGTGTAAGCATTTATGCTGGGCTTGTTCCTAGAGGGAAGGTGCTGGGTGTGTACGGTGTCAGCTTTCTATATGGTGCCAAAGAGTTTTTCAGTCTGCTCCCCACCAATTTACATGTCTCCCTGCAGCCTGAGTTCCTCTTCCTCCGCATCCCTACCAGTACTTGCTATTGCTTCTCTTCCATAGAAGCCATTTTGCTCAGTGTGTGGGCAGTGGGGTTGCTTTGAGGGTGTTTTCGTTTTCTTAATATATTTTTATTGATTTCAAAGAGGAAGGGAGAGGGGGAGAGAAACATCATGAGAGAATCATTGATCGGCTGCCTCCTGCACACCCCACACTGGGGATGGAGTCCGAAACCCAGGCATGCTGGGCTTGTCATTGATGTTTCCATCTCTCTCTCCCTCTCCCTTCCTCTTTGAAATCAATAAAAATATATTTAAATAAATAAATAAATAGAAAGTGTGACAGAGCAAGGAAAAAGCTGCATTGATAATATGAAAGGGCAGCTCAGTAGTTCTGGGGTGGCCTATTTTCATAGAACCCATCATCGAACCGCATGGTCCAGACCAACGGATGCCAGGCTCTGCACAGCTGTCCTCACATGCTG